GTTTTTTTTTTTCGGGCGATCCGGTAGAAAATACGCGATCGCCGATAACACGCCGATAACAATCGTTATCGTCTACGGAGTCGGATAAACAGATTTGCTAAATAAATGGAAAATTTATGATGTTTGCAGGCGAGTCACGTCGTGTATCGCGCATAATACCGCGAAGAGACGCGAGTCACACGAGGCGGCCGCTTCATATACGGATCCCGTGTGTACATTTTTCTCCGTTTTTTCGCCTCCGTTATTTTGCACGTGGCCCGCGCTCACCGAGCGCACATTTCGGGGTAAATATTTGTTCCATGCTCGCTCGCGGGTTTCGCCATGCCAATTTAATACTGCGAATGCGGACGAGGAATGATTTTAGTCGGGTGGCGGAATCGTTGCGATCGTTGCTTCACCGGGAAAAAATTCCTCGATCCTTCCTTTCCGCTCTTCCGTCTTTCTTTCCCCTCGAATTTTTCGAATCGTCGAGGAAAATCGTCGATCCGATTTTGCGAACGATCTTTCTCTCTTTTTTTTTCCTTCTCTTTTTTCCTATCCAATTTTTATATCCGTAGATAACCGAACCACGTATCGATAACGTCGAAATACCGAGCCGAGCGATAATTCCCGTTATCTCTCGAGTGTAGTCCAAGTTAATTGCAACAATCGCGGGCCAATAACGCGTTCGAATCGAGATATCGCGAAAGATCGAAATCCGACGGAAAGATCGGGGCGAGATAACGATGGACAGCGAGATAGCCGCTTTCGCTCGGACGATTTCGAGTTTGGGAAGAGATCTTGGACGGAGGAGAAAGGCGCGATCTCTTTCGCAGTTGCTCGCGGGGAAAAGTGGGTGGTAGTCGCGAAACAAAAGGGTGGTCCCGGTCGGGAGCGGACGACAGGGGGAGGGGGATATTATCATAGCGGCGCAGAGGCGTATATCACTCGGCCACCCCTTTCGTTCCTGACAGGGATTAGCGCGAAGCTCTCTCCTCTGTTGCCTAGGAGAGAGTCACGAGGCGGCGACGAGACGCGCGCGCGTGTGTGGCATCCGGCCGGTGCTCGCTGCGAGCCCCCGGTGGCCAGCGACGGGCGTAAAAACGACGGACATAAATACCGGAGTTACCTGTGTTTTATGACGTGCTCGGGCTCGAGCTGGAGGCGGCAGAATCCAGAGGCAAAGCTCCAACTATCGACAGGCCGGATCCTGACCGATGTCCTCGCGCAATGGATTCGCCACTCGTTCCTTTCTCCTCCTCCTGCTAATACCGTGGCGGCCTTGTTTTAGACCGTGATTCACGCAATCCTCCTCGACAACTACACCCCTCCACCCCTTCCACTCTTCGTCTTTCAACCGAATCGAATTCCGTTCCCGCTTCTTGTCGATCAGATTTCGAGGAAGAATTTTTCTCTATTAATCTTCGTCGCCATTGTAAAATTCCGTTTCCTGTTGCTTCCACGATTCCAATATATATATATATATTTTATCCGTTCGAAGTTACGAAATGGGAAGTTAAAGAAATGCGTGGAAATGATTTAATAAGTCGTAGACCCGGTACCCGTCCACCCACGTCGAAGAGGGTAGCGAAGGTTCTTTATCTTGTACTCCTTTCGATCTCCCCTGGCCTCCGCTATGGGTGGAACAGCTGTTGCCGACCATCGTTTGCCGAAATTTCGCTTCGATCGTGCGTGACTTACACGCGGAAACCCTCCACCCTTCTCCTAATTAATTATCGCCTTTGCGCTCCTGTTGGCGGAGAGGGGGAAGAGAATTCCTCCGGAGAAACTTAGTAGCTCCCTCCTCCTCGATACTCGACCGCTTCTAAAATTCCACTTAATCATATTCCATCGAACGAATAATCTATCTATATAATCCGTAAAATGGCCTCCCCCTTCTGCTCCTCCCCCCCGTCTGGGTGGCAAGGAATCGAGGGGGGAGGATGAAGGGAGAAAGGAAGAGAAGGGGGAGGGGGGAGGGAGGGTGGAACGTCGTCGAAATTCAGAGAGGGACTCGGTGGGATTTCGTCGACCACCTCAGCGACGTTTTTTTCCCAATTAAAAATTAAAAAATCCAGCCCTCTCTCAAGTAAAGGATCACGCAGGAGACGCGGAGAGAGGGGGTGGGTAGGCAGGTAGGAGGGAGAGGTGGGAGGGAGAAGCTGTTCTACGACGGATGACTGCACCGAGATTTTCTACCGATTAAACATTATTTTTCCTCCCGGCCTCCTCTCCCCTCGTCGTACGCGCCACTGTTTCTTTTTACATATGCTAATTCCACGCTCTCCACGTTTCTCCTCTCCTTTCGCCCTTTTCAACCGTGCGCCGTGCCCTCGCTCCGATGAATCCTCGACTCGATGTCCATCGCTGCCCTTCCCCCCCAAAGATTCCTCCTATCTTCGCCTATCCTTCGTTGCCGCTCTCCCTTCGATCAACCGTAAACGAGGCTTCGACTTGCCTCGTTTTTTCGTTCCTTCCTCTCACCCTTCCTATCCTACTCCGTTTTTCAGCTTTTTCGCTTTCTCGATCCGGTTTCCAGCGAAAAGAAGAAAAATAAAAAAAAGAAAAGCGCGCGGTACAACACGGTAATTAAAGACGAATTCCTGAAACAGTTTGCTCTAACCGTCGCGAGACGTTAACCGTCGTTTCCACGTGAAATTGTATAGATGGGAGGATTCTTCTTGAGCGGGTATAAACAATGCCCGTTTACGCAAATTGCCCCCTCTTGTCCCTCCCTTTGTCCCTTTTTTTGATAAGTCGGAATATAACTCTGGTCGGCGTCAATTAATCCTTTCTTAAAAATTGTCTCTTTCTCTCTCTCTCTTCCTTTCTTTCTTTCTCTCTCTCTCTCTCTCTCTGAGCAATCAACCGAGAACAGTATTCCTGGGAAATAAGAAGAAGGGCAGTCGATAGGAGACGACACGAGTTCCGCCTCGTTCCGGCAGGCGATTCGGCCAGTCAAAACGTCAGAATCTTAAAACACGACAAACACTCTGAAATAACGATCCGAGCCACCCTCGGCTACGAGCCTCGCCGGCAAACAGGGGAGTTTTTAACACTGCATGATCCCTGGGCAAACTTAGGGTGTACGCGAACGTTCTCTCGTGTCTTCTCGCGGTGTGCAAATCCTTGTCGTGTAAATTGACGCGGACTTACGCGAGCTTATGTGAACGCGCGGCCATTATGCTTGCGTTTTTTTCTTTTTTTTTTTTTTCTTTTTCTTTTTTCGAGAAGAAAAATCCTCCGGCGATTATTCTTTTTATCGCGGTCGAGATCTCGAAACCGCGGATGTCCCTTTGAGGAGGAGCCGCGATTAACCTTCGAGCAATCCATTTTTCCAAACCGAAAATACGAAAAAAATGTATCGAGGTAGATCGTTTTCGTGGATCGTGGATATTTGAACGATGATAGAAACGACTAGATAATTACGAGGTTTCTTTTTTTTTTTTTTTTGGAAATGGGTGGAGATAAATAGCGGATGAACGATTGGAAAGGGAGAAGAAGAACACGTTTTGGAAAATATATAGGCTTTGTAACGAGGAGCGTTGTAATATTCGGTTGTGTACGTGGTTGGATTGAGAAATTATGCAAAAGGCTGCAACAGGGCGCAGATTGATGCGTGGAAAGGCAGCGTTTAGCACGCAACGAATTACAATTTCGGCGAGCGTAGACAGGTGGAGGGCAGCAGACCTCAAGGGGGAGGATCGTTCTTCCAGCGAGTTACACATAATGCCTCATAAACACCCTCAAAACGCCTGCCATCACCCTCGATTCGCGCCGCTACCACCATCACGAATCTGACACCGCACCGGCAATAAACTTTGCCCTTGTTAACCCTCCGCTTCTCCACCCTCCAAAATCTCTGTGTTCTGTTT